TGTCATCAAAGAAGTCATACTTCATAGAGATTGGGCCATGAGTCCTAATCAGGAGTTTCCTTCAATTAAAACTCCAAAGAAAGAAGTTTATAACTTCAATTATTGGGATTATCAATCAGCCTTTTACTAGTTGTTTCTCTACCAAAATCCCAGAAATAAACATACATGACTAATTAAGCTGTGTCCGGAGACAATTTATAAAGGTCTACCCACCTGGTTCTACAATTGATGGTCTAAATACAATGCAGATCTTGATATAGTGCCAAAACCCATATCGAAGTTATATACTCAATGGGTTGACTATCACCCAGTTATTCAAAAGATGAACGGGAATCAAATTCTTGAAGGTCTATGCTCAGCATATTTCTTCGCTGAAGCAGAAATTCCGTGGATTTGGAATTGGTCCTTAGAAGTTGCATGGGATGAACTTCACTTACCATCTCTTCGAAGGAAATATCATAATAGATGGTGGATGAGTATCAACGTTCAAGACAAGGTGAAACAAATAGAGAAAATTATTAAAAGAAATAACAAAATTCTTGATAATACTCTGACCCAGAAAATTCAAAATGAAAATCCAATGGTCAAACTAGCAATTAGCAAAGACAATGAAGTGAAAATACTCTCAAGCTTCAGAGGCAGAAATTCAGCAAAAACGCCTTGAACATATAAAGAGACAATTCTTCGAAGTATTTGATAATAGTGATACTATGTCAGTATAAAGTACAAGTGCTCAAGAAGCAGATATACCTATACCAGACGTGCAAGATCCTGATGAATAAACTGTAGGAGAGATGTAGGAAGCAGTTATGAGAATTCCCATAGATGAAAAGTGTAAAGGTATTGAGCAAATTATAAAATAATAATTTTACTTACAGTTCTACTGGTTACCTTATTAAACTTATAACTTTACTAATCAATCATATTGCTTAGTTACTGCCAAGTTACCACCTAGAGATTTTTTCAAAGTACAGTGATTAGGTGCGTTATGGGGCCTAAAGTGTACCTGACACTTTTTCTTTAACTTTGAGTTGAGCCTCGAGGAACCGCTCATAGTACTGATTGATGCATGCAATGACGAAAACTTCCACTAACACAAGAAGCCAAGAGATAATTCGCACCACGTAAAGATTCCACCAAAAGATAATGTGCCCCTTGTGAAAGTTGTCGACCACTATGAGTCTACTTTTTATTATTCTCCAACCAGCTGTCAGAGGCAATCAAGAATAAAGATGTGTTTTGCACACAAATATGTGCTGAAGGTAATTTATAATTAACCTCAAGTTTATCACCATTAGCACCACTTAGGGTTTGTGTAGTAGTTTCAAAGAATTTTGGAGGTACTATACCTTCACGTATGCAATTAAGGTCCGCATCGCTATCAACTAAAGCTATAAGATCTAGTATAAATACTCGTTTGGCAATGACCAATGTAATATTTATGTACCATTTTTGAGATGTTATTTGTAATATATTCAAAAATTCATCCTTTTGGGATGATTCTACAACATCATTATCTCCTATGGCTTTCCAATAGTCTGACTTATCTTTAGTTTGACAGTTATTAACTGTACAGTGGCAATGTTCTTCCTCTTTAGAGGAAGATGATGAAGAGGATGAATAGTATTCGTCTGTTCTCTCTGTATCACTGTTAATCATTATTTTATACAAAGTCTTTTTTAAACATTCACCTTCAATTTCATCAATCTTTTTATTTGTATAACATTTACTTGCATAATGACCAATTTTACCGTATTTGTAATATTTAATGTTGCTGATATCCTTTTTAGGATTTCTAGGACGGTCATCTTTTCTTTTTAAAAAAAAATCTTTTTGAAAGAATGTTTCTTTCTTTCTGTCATCAGGCTCTCTTTTGACTTGTTTTTCTTTATTTGTTTTATAAGGCTGATCAAAAGCAAATTGCTGACAGAATTCACCTAATTCTTTCTTGGCTTTGTAATCAGTATGCTCATATTTTTAGTCTTCTTCTTTCTTTCTTCTTTCTGTCTTTCCTTCTTTCCTCTTGTAAAGGTTAGCCGTCCTAGTGCTTTGTAAGATATATTTTGATAAAGTAAACTGGAAGAACCAGATGTTCTGAAATTAGTCGACTTCAAACAGTAAGTCAATCTTCTTTTTATTCATTTTTGTCTATATTTTCTCTCTAAAATTGGTATCAGAGCCATGATTGGCAAAGTTTTTTCTTACGGATATGATTATATAGCTCTGATTAAGTAGGAATTTGTAATTGAAATATATTTTTTATTCTTTTTTGTTGATAATATAAAAGGAATGATAGTGGGACGTCACCCAAGTCGCGTAGGTAGTTATCCCACCCAGTGTTGTCAATGCGCGAGACACAATGCGGGACGCAAAGCATCTTTACACGCACATGCGCAAGGCGCAACGTGATGCGCGCGCCTGGGTGACGCGAGGCGCCCACCGCACACATAATTTCTCAATATATATAATCAAACACAAAAGAACATATTTTTAGAATTTACATGAAAAATATGTCAGGATAAATAATATATTACTACAAAATCACAATATAATACCTCAATTTCTAATGCTAACCCATCATAATAGCAAAATGAACAAATTTTCAAATCAAATGTTAAATCAAGACTAATATCCAAGCAAAGGATTAGTAATGGTCCTTAATTGAAGGCTACTAAAAAGGTCTAATGGATTTATTTTGCTTTTTGGGATATGGATTATCAAGTATAAAGACTCGATTGAAATGTTTACAAACAAAAACAAAATTATATGATATGTACTACATGCACCCAGTACAAAGTAAGGATGTACGCAAGGCACAAAAGACGCTGCTGCATCAGATGTGGGGCGCTTCGCCACCGCCGCGCACTGCAAGGCGCATGAGGCACAGTGAGGCGCGCGCCTTTGAAAACACTGATCCCACCATCCTTTTAAAACACCAATAAAACCAAAGGTAATGTAAGAAGCTATAAGCCTATCAGAATTACCATTATGTCTACAGAATACATCAACATGCGATGCATAGTGAAGAATATTTGATTGTCGGATAAACCGTCAATAATCCACTCATAAATATGTCTACCATTATAGTCGGCTTGTATGTACGTATAAATGAATGGACTATCTTTGAATATTATTACTTCAAATCAAGAGTTAATCTCAAAGATACTCTCTGAAAAAATGCCTTCAGAATTAAAAAGAGAACTTCTCGATCTTTGTATAGATAAAAATAAAGAGGTTAAAGAAAAACCTAATATTGCCAATGTTTATCGAATGTCAGAAGTCATGAAAAGAAGATACGGAAATACTATACATATATATATATATAACTCACGGTCAGATCAGAAAAAAAAATTCAAATTAATAACTAGCATATTCATAAGAACATGATATCTGAAACAGGATATGCCTGAAACAATGTGATTTTGATCAAAAACTAGATGAGGTGGAAGTCGAAGGGAAAAAACGAATACAAGGTTTCAGAAAAGGGGAGATCAGGTTACAGTTATAGACTATGATGTGTAATTACACTTTTGAGTAACAGAGTTTGAGTTTGAAGTGTGGTGAGGTTCAGGAACACTAAATAATCAAAATTTTAGATGGATGGGGGAGATGATTACCATGATTTAATACCTTTCAGATTAATACAATGGTTTACCGACTAGAATGATTGTCCAATATGATACAATATATAGAATCTAGTTTTAGGGGATAATTGAATGAAAAAAAGAGGGAAAGACCAAAGCTAAAGCTCAAGTAAAGCCTTTTTGCATATACAACCTTTTCTTTTCTTTTGCATGGTAATTAGTTTTGCATGGTTTATCTCATATATTTGAAGTGATAAACTGCATCTGTAATATGGCGGAAAATGGCCACAAGGTTTCAGGAAAGGGGGGCATAATACGAAAAGGATATGCGATATTATTCAGTTACACTATCAGTAATCAAGTGTGAATTGTTGCCGGCAATGTTCTAGGATTAAATAGTCAAAATTTGATCTAGATGATGGGTTATGCAATATGTTACATAATATAATTCGAGTTTCTAGCAACTAGGCTGATACCCAATCCAATATAACATATAGAATCGATTTTCAGGAGACACCTCCATGAAGAAAGGGGAAAAAGACTGAACCAAAAGTGTGCAGTACAAGATTAGCATCAAACGAACTGTTATTACCAATCGTCTCATCAATGTCTCGTTCTCCCTATTTTCTAACATAATTGTAGGACTAACCATTAAGAGTATGGGTTTATAGATATGCTGTAAAAAGATGGTCCAGCTGGAAGCCTAGGAGGGAAGTGCCCAGGCAGTCCATCTAGGGAGTAGGTTATGCACTAGGCATTACATATGTTGAAAGAGGTGAAATAGCGTTGAAGAAAGGGGAAAATCAAGATTTGTAGAAGCATCCTTTTGAAACTGTCTTGTGTCATGCCACCATCGTCGCCTACTGAGGGATCCCATCCTATGCTTAGGAACTATCTTCGCCTCACCTACTGCTGCTTCAATACTATTGCGAAAAAAGATGGAGTCAACAGCTAGGATATTGCCATAGTAATATAATCACTACGAATCAGGGTTTTTACCTACTTCTATTAAACAAGTTAGGGAATGATATTTCTATCTCTTTCACCTCTCACTTTGCAATGGCTGCACAGTAAACAAGCAGCAGGAAAGGGAGAGGGCTAAAAGCAAGGCCATAAACAGGCAATGATGATGTGGAGGACGTGACGATGACAATAAGACAATATGTTCTTCCTGTTTTCGCCTAAAATTTTAGATAGTATTAATTAAAGGAAAAGTCTGAAAACACCACTTTGTTTTACACGCGTGTATGGGGATGTAAATGATGCTCACAAAAAGAACCGTCCCAAGAGCCTCTTCATTCCTGGTGTTTTGCACCATCTTGTTACGCAAATCTTTTTACTCAAACCATAAGCTAAAAAACTCAATAACTATAAAAACATATGCATGCAGAACATAAGTCAGGGCAACGAACAAACCTGACTGGGCAGCTTGGGAGACTTCTCTTTCATCCAAAGGTTTTCCAAATTGTAATATGCTCGTGCCTTTTCATCAAGAGCATGAATTATGACAGTACCTACAAAAATAAGAAAGAAAAAAATAAGAACAGGGGATATTTAAAACTATGCAGTAAAGAATAAGACATTTTTACAATATGCTTAGTACCCTTTCTATGTTATAGAAATTCCAAGAAAGATGAACGTATTGATTAAAACTTAAACAACGAACAACTTGTAGATACTTTGCTCAGTGCAGCTCATCCTTTTGGTACCAAATTACTCCAAGGTTTAAGTTCAAATCTAGAAAAACAACAAATGGTAGATAAATTGGTTCAAAGATGGATTTGCAAATGAGATACGGACCAGAATCTACTACGATCCAATTTCCACTTTCTTGGCCTTCTACACTTGGAAGCAACTTGCGATCAGAACCAACTTGTTTTTGCTTTACCTGTTCATCAGAAACTAGAAAATTAAGAAAATGATATGATTTAGGGGGAAGTAACATAGCAAGCAGCAAGCACAAATTCAAGATCACTAACATAGGGAATATGGTATACTGAATGCAGTACTTCTACTCACTGGTACTCATATTCTCATCACATCTCTGCCAATGTGAAACACTATTGATTATACAATTGAACATGGTATCAAGACTATCGAAGCAAAGGATCTGCGATTTTCACAAACCAAATTAAACTATCATTTTAAGTTACGTAGTTGAAAATATTTTGTCTTTACATATGCCACTTGAGAAACTTGCTAGTAAAGAAAGTGCATGAGTTATGCAGCTGCGTCAATTACAGCTTGAGTGATTTGATGAACCATTGCATGAATTTCCAGCGCAAAAAAACAGAAGACGAATTTAAATTTTAAATTACCAAGATGCTGAAGAAAATATTATTTTATAATAGCATCTACATGATAAGAAATTCTCGCGAAACAAGGACATGATCTTTGCATATGTACAAGAAAGCAGAACACACTAACCGCTGGTTTTTGAATGAATAGAAGGTATGTAAATGAGGAAAACCAGTTTATACATATCTTAGCATGGCTTAAAAAGCATGTTTGGGCATGCTGTTTAACTTAACCTAGTCAAGCTTAAGCTTGATCTTGAGCTGGCTGATAAACACAGCCACCTAATACCAAAATTGGCTAGTTTAGGTTCATTCATTTACTATATGAGTATTTGGCCACTCACTACATGAGTAACAGCAATATCACTTTTGAACCAATCATATAATTTTTAATTTGATCAAATTGAAGCCTGATTAAGAATAAAACAAGTAACCCTTACTTTGACTCATTTAAGCTCAAGTGGACGAGCATACACCGCGTGACTGTGTACCGAGATGTAGTAAATGTCAGATTGTGATATGTAGTAAATATCATAATGCCAAATCGAATGATGTGCCTATATAATGTAATGTCCTAAAATGTAATTGACATTGAAAATAACGATAATAAATAATGTAACGCTCTACCTTCTGTTAAGGGTTAAGGGAAAAACACAAATATAATGCATAATGTAGTTTATTTTGTTTATTAATTATTTAGATATTTCATAAATACAAACTATTTATAATGACTTTAATAATTAGAATCATCAAAATTCCTAAACATGAACGAGGACTGGAAGAGTTACAGGAGCTAAAATTTAGAAGGCTTCATCTCCGTCAAAAGGAGTTAGGATTTCGAAGTTGGAGAGGCGTAAGGTTACTGAAAGCACTAGGCGGGCTAGGCATTAGACCTAATACCTAGAGCCTAAGCGTTTAGGTGGAAGCCTAGGCGAGGACTAGGCGTTTTTCTATTTTTTATTTTTAGTTACAATTACTAATAGTAAATGCTTGTGTTATAAAAAGTTTAGACGTTGGACTAACACCTAAACAAATTTCTTAAGTGGTGGTGGAGAAGGTTTTGCTGAAGGTCAAGAGAGATAGAAGAGTTGTACATAGTTAGAGTTTGGAGGAGGTTAGAGGACGTGGAGGTTGTAATGGAGGAAATCACGAACAATGCCTAAATGGTGCAATCCATGTAGGCAGACCATGCTCCCCTAGGCGCTCCCAAAGCCTAGGCGGTCAGCTTAGGTACTGCCTAAGCTCTAGGCACTAGGTAAGCGGCTAAGGTATGGCTTAGGCCTAGGCGGGATAGACGGTGGTTTTTTAAAACATTGGAGAGGTGCGGAAATAGAGATGGGATCGAGGGATTAGAGAGAGGTTTTGTCGACGACAAAGATAGAGGATGAGAAAAGCCTTGTCGTCTGTGACAGCCTTCGTCTTCATCGAAGGTGCGAGAGGAAGAAGAGATCGAGACGTTTCTTTGTCGTATGAGTAAGAGGAGGAGGTGGAGGGGGAGGAGATGAGGGAGGCGTTGGAGGTAGGGTCAAGAATTATCTAGGGTTTTTCACGTGAACGAGATTGGGATCGAGGGATTCATTTGGAAACTTATTTCGGTTAGTCTAACACTAATTTGGATGGTGGAGTGGAGATATCGTTATGCGTCCAAATCTGATCATCAATTTAACTCAATTTAATAAGTGTTAAATAACGTTTAACATAATGCGGATAAAACACATATTTTGGTGTAATTTTCTGCGTTAAAATACAACGTAAGTTTTCTACTTGAGTTTTATAACCTTTTGGCTCTGTTAGGTTTTGAAACTTGAAACGGCTTAAAACAATTTCAAAACAAGCTTTTTTCCTATATTGAACATACATAATGAAATCTAAGAATACAAAATAAATATAATACATGTTTAATTACTAATCAATTGTAGAAACCTACTTAGGAAAAGAGCCTACTAACATTTTACAAAAAACTTCATAAGGCTGGAATTTTTGCTTAAAAATCAAAGAAAATTTGCATATTTATATTGTTTTGAGATATACCTTATAAAAGAATATATCGATCAATAAATTGGCTGATATATCGGTCATGTTAGGAATATATCACCCAAAATTTGCAAAAGAAGATTAAAGGATATTGAAACCATATTGTTTTACAACTAGCCTTATAAAAGGATATATCAAGCCGGTATACTAGATAAATCAGGGATATTAAAAATAGCGAGAATGGTTACATGTCACGGTTACAGAATAAGTTGTTTCTTCGATTTTTTAGACAAGGCTCTTGGAAGTCTCACTAGAATATCATGTTATAGTTGATAGGTTGATGCATATGATTTACAAACATAAAATTCTTATCATTGAAATAATTGATATGATTTACAAACATAAAATTCTTATCATTGAAATAATTGATATGATTTACAAACATAAAATTCTTATCATTGAAATAATTGACAATCATCACTAAGATCTTGTGATCCCCCACTGGAACTGATGTAGCTAACAAGGATGAAAAACAATGGCGTTTCAATTATTTATACAGATTATCACTTGGATTCTTAGATTGACTCAATTTCTTCTCACTGTTAGATTGCAGAAACCTATCAATAAAAATAGTTTTTTTTATCTTTTCTCCTAAGTTTAACCGAGACGAAGGGTCGTAAATGAGGACAGATCATACAAGGATATCTCAAATAGCTTGTCCAAGCTTGTTGGTTAAGTTACCTAGTAAAGCTTACGGTTAATCTTGAACTCATGTTAATCAAGCAACACTAGTTATACCAAACTCGGTTAGTTTAACTTTGTATCATTTATCTATATGATTATTTGATCTCACGCTCAATAAAAATGACGCTATCACTTTTTTTGATAGGTAAGATCACATTTAGCTTGACAAAGATGAAGCTTGATCCCTAAATAAGACGAGCACAAGCTAGCCCTTAACTCATGTTAACCTAACTAGATCAACATACACTACAGCACTCAAAAATGAGTGAGAAAAATACAATATGGGCTTATAACCTACTTGTATGGTAGGAGTGCAAACAGTTCATATTATCAATTCATGAGGTTGTATGATAACAAAATCATATGTTCGCACCAAAATTGAACTTCGTCTATTAGAAACCTCTCTATGAGCTTTATCTACCGAACTTAACAATATGAGAATTCACCCGTGGCCAAAAGTGTAACATTTTCAATACATTGTAAAGCCCTAGCAAATAAAGCAATTAGCTCCTTGACTCAAGTAAAAATATTGAAGTGTTTACTTGAAATGTAAGAAACCTACAGAACTTAACCCTAAAAGCTTATTGTCAGGGGAGGGAACAAAGTCTCTTATAAGCTCAACCTGACCCTCCGTTTACTTAATGAGGACTGAATGGACACCGATAAATCATCATGGTTTCGGAGTTCTAACCCCTTGGATTTGCACTAGACTAGTTTTGTGCAAATGCTAAAATATCAACATCACCATTCATGTCACTTCCAATTAAGAAGATGGGTTTGGCTCTAATATCATATACAAAGACCCAAAAAACTCATCCTTAGGCTAGTCGTTAGAGAGAGGGCACCCAAATCTCCTATAAATCCAAACTTAAACTTAAGTCCCACCAATGTTTTAGAAAACGCAAGGCGTTTCTAGGTGCCAGACCTAGCGCCCGCCAAAGCGCCTATGCGAACGCTTAAGCGACACATAAATGTTTTTGACATCGAGAGAGGAAGGATCATTTTCGAAGATTTGAATCATATCCTCAATATTTTACTTGAGATAGACTTGGAGATAGTGTTTTGATCTCTGGTATGTTTTAACTTGGCTAACTCTCTTCAGCCATTACGATGCTTAAGCGAGCAATATAGTCCGCGTAAGCAGCCCATTCTCCCTTAGGCGCTCATAAGACTTAGAAGATGGCCTAGGTACCGCTTAGGTTTAAGCGGCCGCCTAGGCGGGCACCCAGACCGCTTTTTAAAACAATGAGTCCCACTTTCAACTCAAAAGAACAACAAATCCCTTTAAATTACAACAGTAGCTGCAAGAAAATTCAATACTCCTAAACAAAAACCTAATAGATCCTCCCCCTCCCCACCATGCTCTCTTCAAGACTCCACCATAAAAGAGTTTCTCTCCAAGGCTCATCATATTGCCATCCTCGTCAGCGCCCCAGAGACTTCGCCAGCACCTACGTCTCCTCAAGCAACACCTCTTGTGTCCTCAATTATGGTTCGAGTGTGACCGTCAATGGCGACGACGAAGAGGTCTAGCCTGGCCTCGTCAAGAAGCCTCAGCGAGTTGAATCAACCAATGGACCAAGGGACCCATTTAATCGAAAAGGCAAGCCTAGAAGCTTGAATTATGGCAAATGTTTTAGGGTTGGTGATACTCATTCCAGTTATTGTTTAAATAGTTTTATCAGAGCATATAAAAGTTATTGCAATAATTTGAGGAGTAAGTAAGAACTCTCATTAATTTTGTTTCTGATGATCTAATAACTTTAGTTTGTGTTATTCTTATGTGTGTTTTAAATTGGGGAAAGTTGAAATATTTCATTTATTTTTCATTGATAACTGTCGATTGTTGACAATGTTGGGTCATATTTGTCGATTTACTAGTCTTTTTTTTGTGATTTGGCAAGATTAGTTGAAAAATCGTGGGCATGCAATTAGTAAATAAGAAGTTGCAAGTAGAATCAAAGTATCAACTGAAGTTGCAATTCCAAGTTGCAGAATATTTAAAATGAACCGAACAGTTGCAAAAATTACATGCAATAAAATCTGCAATGATTCGGTTGCATTCAAGTGACAGTTGCATACCAATTACTCTTGCAAGCTACTAAAACTACCCTCAGTCAGAATAGATAGACCCTAGCACGAACTAATTAGCAATCATGATTAAGATTTTTAATCTACACAAGCATTTCAAAAAAAAAAAAACAAGTAAACATTATAATAAAAATTAAACTTTGATTCCCTTTCGGCCAGAAATGGCTTAGATGATGATGATGAAAATTTTTATCAAAAAAAAAATCGGTTTGGAGAAAATATTTGCCTACGGATCATTGCATCAACTCAAAATCTCTAATTTTCTCTTCATTAGGTCAAATTCAAAAATATCAAACGAACTTGCCTTGTAAATTAGGGCTTGAGCAATGTTCTTAACATGCCACGTAGACCTCCCAGTTGCAATCACCATGAAATCAGTCCAATCACAATCATCCTTCATCGGGATCACCTTCACGTCGTCGGCCTTCACATCGTCAAGAATCTTCTGGACCTCTTCGATGTTCAGAAACCCTAGATTCTTCGACGAGGAAGAGAAAAAGGCGGGAAGAGGAAACCCTAGGGTTTGGTTGTTGAGGGGAGAGTGACGACAGAGGGCGATTGAGATGGAAGATCGAGCTCGGGATCGAAGAGCTGAAAACATCAGGAGTTTGGGTTTTTGGTCGCCGAGGTGTTCGTTGAAATGAGAAAAGGCTCGATGAAGCAAAATTGTGAGTTTGAAAAAAAAAAGAAATTATGCTTGACAAAATTCTAATGGGCTTATGCCGTGGAAGCTACAGGCCATAGGCCCACTAACTAGGAAGTATTTGCTTACAGAAGCGGGTGGAAAAGTAAGATGGAGAGGCCATTTTACAAAAAACACTAAAATCTTATGAGGGCCTTTTTGTTTCGCAAAAAATTGCAGAAAGTGTGGAAAGAAAATGAATTTTGATGTTTTTCTCTACTTTTTGATGTTTGGTTCGTCAAAATTCAGAAAGAAAGTGAGGGAGAAAATGAGTTGTCATTATATTGTTGGATGAGATGAGTAATTTTTGATGTTTTTCTCCACTTTCTTTATTTTTTTTCTTTCTTGTGTTTGATTCATTCTTAAAACTAAGAAAATAAATGAGAGAAAATGAGTTGTCATTTTATTGAATGGTGTGACCCATACTTTGAAAAATCAATTTTCTTATTTTTTTTGGAGGAAAGGGATGGAAGGAAATTTTAATGAGATGTGATGAACTGTCACCATATTATTGGATGATGTGAGTAATTTTTAAAGATGATAGAAAATAAAGGAAAGTTGGGTGAGGTGAGTTAGATGAGTTGATTGATGTGACTCATTTCTTGTGTTTAGTTTATTTTTAAAAGTAAGAAATGAGATGTGATGGGATAAGTTGTCACAATATTATTGGGGGAAAGTAGAGAAAGTGAAGGAAAGTGAGTTAAAGAAAGTGGGAGAAAGTGAAAAAGTGAAGGAAAGTGGGTTTTGGATTCTGGGGGAAACGAAACAAACAGGCCCTGGGTGTAAATAAGATAGTGTGCCTCTCTACCGTTCCGGTTGGTATACTGTTGACGTAGCATGCTTGCAGTCGCCACATCCGGATCATCAATGTATCCATCAATCCTATTATAATGACAACTTGGATGCATGCCATATCAATAATACATCAGTCAAGATCGAGGGTGCACCATCAGTTGTTTATTCTATAAGTATGAACTTTATAGAGACAGATGGTTCAAACCATTCAAGAGGACAATAGCTAGATTAAATAATCAACTAGTGAATCTTTTTGGAATTTCAGTTCTATCATCTTTTAATGTTACTAATTAATTGCGAATAGACTCTTTATAGTACGACCCAATTACGAATAGATCCCTCATAATTTTATTTGTATGAATCAACCCCTTAGTATTGGCCCGAGTGCAACTACATTCCCTTAGTTAACTTTTTTGACTTTCTTAAAAGTCAAAAAAAGGGCAACTAGGGGACACTCACCTATAGAACTATAATTGGTCAATTAAAACCCTTTAAAAATTTTAAGATTAAAAATTTTACTTAGAATATCGGAGGGTCTATTCGCGTAAATAGAACTATAATTGGTCAATTAAAATCGAGTGATACTATAGGGGTATGTTTGAAATTAACCCTTGATTTTATAGGGTTAATTGCGAATACACTCGGTATACCCAATTGTGAATAGATTCCCCTTAGTTTTATTTACGTACATTGACAGTATCAAAAAATCCACCCGGAGTCTCAAATGGTCTATTCGCATGAATAGAAGTAAATGGATCTATTGCATTCAGGTGATAGTATAGGGAGTTTGTTCGGATTAACGCTTTATTTTGTAGTAAATGAGATAATTAATTCAAGGTTAATAATCCATTTTACATTTAGTAATTATGCTTTAGCATAAATATTCTTTGTCAATTAATTTATCTTTTCCAATACAAAACAAATTGCAAATTCTCTAGTAAATAATAACAATTGCAATTGGAGAAATAAAATTTCAATATTATATGAGATCCCAAAAACTTATCCATTTGTCATTTAAATTGCATTGTGAAAACGAAGTGATAATTCAAGAAATTTAGGCACCCCCCACTAAAGCATAAATTTTATCAGAACACTCAGCTTTGCAAGCAAGTCATTATGATTTATGCGTCTGTAGACTGTCAAAACATATTTTCACTGAAGATCCAAGAAGTAAACTCCCATAGGCTAAACACTTCGAATGGGCCCAAAGTCAAGCTCACAATAAACTGCAGCGAATGTCACTTGATGATTGAAGCGAACCTCGCCAAGCAACTCATATCGATTCGACCAAGTCAGACTCCCGTAACATGCTTCAGATCAAGTCAAAAGGCGACATCAGTTGGCCAAACCCAGAGTCCAATTCTAAGCAACATTCGAACTCATATGCGAACTTCGCCAACTAACGAACTTCGCCCACATGGACCAAGTCATTCACTTCCGAAGAAGACATGCCCACTGATAATCACATTTTATTACAGTTTTATACCCTCATTATCTATTTTATATGAATAAATATATCACTAATAATTGTTTTTATCTTTTAATTGCAGGTTAATGAAGAATAAATCTCAAACTCCAATCTCTCAACAAAAACCCGTTGATAAAATGAAGAAATGAAGCAAATCAATTTCCAAATTATCCAAAAGCCCAAGCTAAGAAGAAGAAGTAAAGCCTAAGAAATGCCAAAGCCCAAATCAAATAAATGAAGAAATCAAAGATTTGTCCAAGCCCAAAGCCCACAAGAAGAAACAAGTTCGGACAGCAACCAGACAAAGGCAGACATCGATGCCTGCATCGATGCCCGCCGACATCGATGCCTGCATCGATGGGGGCATCGATGCTGGTATCGATACACTGGGCAGTTTGTTACGAATCAAAGGCTAAAATTTAATATTTTTGGATAAGATTTCGATCCAATAGCTCTCATTCACTGATGTTTACTATAAATAGGGGTAGAGAGTGAGGGGTTAAAGGTATGAAAAATTTTATAACTCCATTTGGAGAGGAGGGCTACTCTTAATTGAGAAGGTCTTCCAAAAATTATAACTTTAGTTGCAATTAATAAAAATAATTTTTTCCTCTTTAAATTTGTTCTTTCTCCTCTTTGTTGAATGATGAGGATGGAGATGAAGAGCAATTTGAAGGTTTGCATTTCTTTTCTCTTTTATTTCTTTTTAGTAATTTCTTTATTATTGCTTATTAGTTAGATTTATATTTATGCTTGTAGTGTAGATTTATTTTCTTGTCTTTTTTTATTTCTTTTTGTACTTTAATTTGTAGAGTAGATTTATTTTCTTGTATTTAATTTCTGCAATTTACTTTTTTTATTCTTTGTAGTTAGATTTATTTCTTGTTCATAGTTTAGATTTTTCTTTTCTTTTTATTTTTGTAATTAGTTCTTTTTTTTCTTGTTTTTATTTCTTAAGATGTGAAATTAATTCTTGTAGGAATCTTAGAATTGCATAAAACTAGTCTAATTTCCTTTATATTGTATGAATTATTCTCTTTCACTTAAAATGTTCATGTTTAGGATAATCAACTAGAGAACTAATCGGTAGAAGAAGAATTTGATAATCTATACTTATCTTAAATGGTTTGATAGGTTATGCTTATGAATTCTAGGATTATTATCTTATTGTTGTTCTTATCATGAATAATAATTTTGACTTAGATGATAATTTGATAGGTTATACTTTCCTTAAATGGTTTGATAGTCTATGCTTAATAAATCTAAGTTGAAATATGATAAAAAGAGAATAGTTTATATTTTGTAATTGAAATTGGTTAGTGGATTATATTCTAGATTTCTTACCTCTTTTGAATCCTCCATCTTAACCTTCTTAAATTTTCTTTTTATTTTTGGTTTTATTTCTTGATTTTATTCATTCTTCTTTCTTGCCTTGTGATTTCATTTATTCTTTAATTCTTTCTTCTCTAAAATTCAATTTATTATCTCTTGCATATATTCACAAAAATCACTCATCACATCTCTCTCCATAATCACACTTATTATTTATTTCTAATTGTCACACACAAAACATAAGAACCAATTCTAATAATCTCTTAAAATCACCTTCCTCGTGGGATCGATATTTTTTTATACTATAACTTGATCAATTGTGCACTTACAATTTTGGTACATAATTATGCCACATCAAGTTTTTGGTACCGTTGCCGGGGAGGGTGCTAAAATAGGATTTTTATTATTTTGGTTCTTTAACTTGTGTGTTTTCTTGTGAAGAAACCGCTTGGAGCTTGAAAATCTTGGATTGAAGATCAAGAATTTAGAGAATTGCTTTCGGGTAAGTCCTCTTTCTAGTTTTTAATTCCACCCTTTTTAGTTAGCTTCACAATTAGAGACAATTATGATTTAAAAAAAAACTATTTTTGTTGACCATAATTAAAATTCACCTTTCACTTGGACATTAACTAACAAGATAATAAATTCAAACAAGAGCCCTCTTCTCACATTTGATTGTTGTTGACCATAATTAAAAAAATATAAAGATTTTTTTTATCATATCCTTTTTAGTCGCTTTTAATTTCTAGGGTTGCATTTCATATAGTGTAGGAATTCACCAAAGTGATTGTAGCACTTGATTTGGCACACACTTAAAACATTCTTAAGGGCAAAACCCCAATCAAGATAAGGTAAGGGATTTCATCACCCTTTCCTTAGCCCACAAATCACTAATTCCTCACTTCACAAACCCAAGCTCTTTCTTCTTTCCTTTATAAAAAAAAACTAAATTTCTTTCTTTCCTTAAAAAAAACTAATTTTCTTTCTTTCTTTCCTTTAAAAAATTTTTTTGTTTTGGTGTATGCAAATTTGGGTTCGGGATAATTTTCATCGCTTAATCCGTGTTGAACCAATCCAAGAAATGGCAAATCAGCCCGTTCTTCAGGATATGTGTTACCCCACCAGAAATGCAATTCCATCTTGCATAAGACTCCCCGAAGTAAATGGAGCAAATTTCGAGCTTAGACCGTATTATATAAACATGCTTCCCAAATTCCTAGGTAATAAAACAGAAGATGCATATATTTTTATCTCGGAATTTGAGGAAGTGTGTATTATGATTAAAATAAGAGAATTAACCAAAGATGTAATTAAGCTCAGATTTATTCCATTTTCTCTTAAGGACAAGGCTAAAAAATGGCTGTACAGCTTACCGACAAATTCCATCTCAACTTGGGAGGAATTT